GGTTAAGCTAAACACTGACGGTGCATTTGACAGACATACCGGAGCTGCTGGAGGAGGGGGCCTAATTAGGGATCATGGAGGGGCACTCATTTCTGCCTTTCAGGGACCACTACGGGCCTCCTCGAGTTATGATGCGGAGATTCAGGCACTCCAGATTGGTCTTGAGATTGCCGCCTCGATCTTCTCCCATATCTGGATAGAGATGGATGCTGCAGCTGTCATCACACTTTTGACACCTGGCCATCAGGTCTCATGGCAGATCCAACATCCCCTTATTCGCATCAGATACACACTTTGCTCGATACATTACCAGATCTCACACATATTCCGAGAAGGAAACCGCCCCGCCGATTTCCTTGCTAACACGGGGGCTTCTATACCTCAGAGATGCATCCTTCACCCAGAGGACATCCTCCTCCGGCTTTGGACCCTCATTCGGATGGATCAGCTTCAGTACCCATCCTTCAGATTCGGACGACCACCACTACCTGATCCTGACTAGCCTTGTCTTTTTGGACTTCATGTCGGGACACCTTGACCAGGACGACCTCTCATGAGGCCTAGACTTGAGATCCAGATCGGATAGTTTTTTAGCATTGTACATTTTGATTTGTTGCTTTGATGATGTTCTATGTACTATTCGACTTTGATGTAGACCCTTGACTTTTTAGCCCTCTCTGGGCCATTATATCCACATGTCGGGAGTGTAGTCTCAACCCCCCATCCCACACTGGGATGTTTATATATATAAAAAAAAGTTATAACCAACATATTCTAGTCTACTAATGTCTTATGTATTTCTACTTTGGCCTTATAACCAACATATCTAATCTAAAAGGCACATAAAAACCAAAAAATTCAGAACAAAAGCTCCTACTGAACAATAATCACCACACAATGAGACTAATTTTTCGCACTACAAAAAAACACAATCGCAAAACGCCATTGGGGTTAAGGCAACAAAACTCAAGAACAAACATAAAAGTTAACATAAATGAGATTGGATAGATCAAACCATGTTAAGAATGTGCAACTGATAATATGATGTAATGATGACTAAAAAACAAATCTAAAAAACACAAGAATAAAAAAACTTGTGCATCCTCTACAAAATATTTAGTCTGACTCATCGCAAAACCAATGAATATAAACTACTTTTTTTCATCCATATTTGCTCCGGGTACTCCAAATAAAATAGCAACAATCAAAGTACTAAAAATTAACAAAAATAAATTAATGTCTCATTAAAAACAAAATGATTCATCTAAAAATGACTAACTACCAAAATAAACATCTCAAACAACAGAGCAACGGGAATTTTTCACTTTTGACATGTCTGGACGATATAAATCATCTTCAAGGTGAATGTTATGACTTGGACATTTTCGCTTGTCATGGCCCCTCTGCCCACACAAAATACAAGATCAAGCACTTTGGGATATGACTTTCTCTTTACTCGACATTAGACACTTGCCACAACCTTTGGTTCGTATAGGCTTGGGGTCGCATACAAAAAATGTCTCTTTGTCTTTGCTTTTACTCAACCGCTTGCTCATGCATTCCTTGTCATCAATCTCACCAACCTCCCATTTAAAAACTTTGAGCTTTTCCATTAGATATTTGCTTCTCACCCCAGTCATCGATGCATCGTTAATGAGCTCTCTCATTATTTTAATTAGCGTCCCATGTCCGCCTTGCAAAGATTAACCTACTTCAAAATCAAATGGTGTATCATAAATAAGGTTACTCTTTGCATTCTTCGTCCATATTTTCTTCAAATACTTTTCAGGTACTAACATAACTTGTTCAACCCTCATCCAACATAGCATGTGCCGATAAAGAAACCATTCGAACTCAAATTTTTTACAGCTACACGCTATAAAATCTTCAAGAACATCATATGTCAAATGCCGCTGATATTAGTTATTCATATCAATACCAAACGACCAAACTTCATAAACTCGGGAATCATTTGAACCTGAGACCTTTTTGCATATATAGCTCGCACTTTCTTCGAACTCTTTTTGGAATAACAAAAATATAGGCTTCGTATAAATATCTGCCATCTACTTTTCCATAGTGAATGATGTGTTGATTCGTGGCTTTTCATTTTGATCAACATGACTAGCCATCAGTTCTTCAAGTCTCTGATGCATAATAGCCCTACTAAAACGACTGAAATAGTCATTCAAAGAAATTTTTTTTTTTCCAGTTACCTTTTGAATAAATGCGTGATTACTCTCAACTTGTTGTCTATTGGACATACCTGTAGCGAAAACACCCTTTACATAAGTTGGAAGCCAATGATGACGAATTTCATACATTTTTTACAACCATCCATTACCATTCATTTGGGAATCATTCACCAACAAATTCCACTTGCACTCAAACTCAATGGGAGTTTCAGAGTCATTAATAATACCGCTTAAGATATGATAGTGTAACATATGAAGAACATGACCGAGCTTTTCTGAAAACTTGTTCAGAATATGCCAAATAAAATATTGGTGCATAGTGTTCGGAAACACCTCAACCACAACAATCGATATAGCCGCACCCTGATCAATGATGATAACTTGTGGATGTGGCTGGTCTGCCATTGCTTTTATAAAATTAGGGAATAACCGAACAAATGATTCTGCTTTTCTATTGCTGAGTAATGCACAACCAACTATAGTGGTCTGCCTATGATGATTAACACCAACAAATGGTGCAAAAACCAATCCATATTTATTCGTATTATATGTGGTATTAAAGACAATTACATTTCCAAACATTGCATATGAGTTTCTTGATTCACTGTCGGCCCAGAAACATTTGGTGAAAAAACCATTCTCATTTGTCTCATAAATATAATAAAAATTCTCCATTTTCGCCTTTTCCATTTTAAATTGGTGAATCAAGGTTTGTGCATCATGTCCACTTAGTTCAGCTTTACGTGTTGCTTCTTTATTTCAGATATCCTTCTCCAAACAACCCATCATAGAGGGACCACAAGAATCGATTTCAGACAATCTAACTTATTTGCATGTGGGGATATTTTTCTTCGTGTACTCCTGGACAAGCGCTCTTTTTGTGGCTGACACACCTCTATGAGATCTCAACAAGTGAACATTTCTAGAAGTAGCGAGCGAATGATTGTGCTTTTTTACAAAATACTTCACCACCCAAGTTTCATTTTTTTTCGAATACTCATTCGAGCTGGATAGTTTCAACGAGTCTCCCCATGTTTCTGTTCCTTAATTTCTGTCACTTCGCCTCGTTTATTTTGGTATGACACATTTGTCTTCTTTTCTTTCGAGCAAACATACATTTTTCCCACAACTGTGCAAGCTTTTGGATCTTTTTAAATGTTTTTAATTCTAGTGCTAAATCATGCATCTTTAGCACATTCAGTATTGAAACAAAGAGCCTTTTCCGTCGATCAAAATTCTTGTCCTATCAAAGACTTGACCGATGAGTTCAACCTGTGGTATTAACGCTTCGTTTTGCTCAATCTCCATCCTACGTAAAACAAATATACTGAATGTTATAAATAATGAAAACAAATCCAAAAATCATGACAATAAATTTGATATTTAATATTATTCATTCTAATTCATTGTAATAATGTTTTGTCAATAATTACGTAAAGAAAAAAATATAAACATAGCAAACTGAGATGAGCTCAGAAATATTATAATTTTGGGGCAAACAATCCTTGCATGAAAAATAGTGGATCAAATAATTCAACCTGCTTCGAAGATTGTAATGCGTCTTTGTGGCAACTGGAAGAAGAGAGTATTTTTTTGTGGTGGCTGCCAGAGGAGAAGCCGTGGTGAGAAGAAGAAGAATCGTGCGTGCGGGTTTGGAGAAGCCATGGATCAAATATTTTCTGTTTTTTTTTCATTAACTTAAAATAATATTAATTAAATATTACATGTGTTGTATTTTAATGAACAAATTTGTGCCACATAAGGGCCACGTATGCGAATGGCTCCGTAACAAAAACAATCCAAGTGTTACATAGAAAAACGTTTAAACAACTTAACATTAGAATATTACAACAAAACTTCAAAGCCAATTCATATACAAAACAAACGGAATAAAATAAATATATAGGTGAATTCATGATCCTATTAGAGATTTGTAAAGGAAACAAAAAATGTATCCTTCTCTTCTCTTCTCTATTGAAATGAAACAATAATGTCATTTAAAAGGCAAATAAATAAATAATAAATCAATCTTCAATGTGATGAGTGGAAATTTATCATCCAAAACGTGAATCTCTCAGACTATCTCATTCAATACCCAAGGCTTTAATTTAATTTAATTCGCCACCTAAAGATTTTTTGCATATATTGTATATGAAAGCGATATAATACACCAACCTAACAAGAGTAGTTGATCATCTTAAATGTGGTGGTTGTAACAAAATTGGTAGTACGTAGCAAGTTCATTCACGTCACAACATTAATTTCACACAATTAAGACAATCTCAATAGAATTAACACTTGCAATGATCTTGTAAAAGTTTATGATGTACATAAGTAACAACAACGGGAAATGCTAAGGTCCGGTTACGGAACCATTCCGTCAGAGTTTGAAACCGTTAGATGATTATGTAACCGTCAGTCAAAGATAATTGATCTAACGGTTACAAACCCCGACAGAATGGTACTGTAACGGGAACAACATAATATTGTAAAACACACGACACTTTCAGATGTAGTTGTTATCCTAACTACAGCTTAAAATTTGAAACTGAATGTTGTTAGCCGGTGAGACTCAAAATTAAATATAATTATTCATATACTCACTTAATTTTATTTTGTTTTTTTTTTTTTTTTTTTTTTTTTTTTTTTTTTTTTTGTGTGGGTGTTTTGTCAAAAAATGTGCATTTATTTAGGCAGATTGATGGGGAAAAATGAAGGATAAGTGTCTTTACTGTTTCATATATTGCTATTATTTCTATATACACTCAAAAAACTTAATTGAGAAAAAAATAGCTCGGTTGATCGATGGAGCAAGTGACGAGCACAAAACGTCACCGCCTTGTGTCGTTTCATGAACTCCCAGAGTACATGAAAGACAACGAGTATATACTCAATTATTACAGAGCTGAATGGCCTCTAACACAGGCACTCTTTAGCCTTTTCCGCTGGCACAATGAGACCCTCAATGTTTGGACGTTAGCACCTCAAATTCACTCACTTATTTATTTTCTGTTTTTTTTTATTATTTCAATTTCATCATTTTATCTGTTTAATTACATTTTCAGGCATTTAATTGGATTCATTCTCTTCTTGTTCTTGATAATTGGAAATGCCACACATTTGCATTATGTTGCAGATTTTATTCCCCTGTTCACAAGGTAATTTATTCTGAGCTTAAACATTTCTTGTGTTTTTTTTATATGTTTATCCAAACAAATTGTGTTTTTTTTTTTTTCTTTCAGAACCTCCGATCAGTCGACCCAACACATCAGCCCGAATCTCGACACATCCGCTGGCACGAGCTGGCCGTTCTTCGTCTTTCTAAGCGGGGCCGCATTCTGCCTCCTCTCGAGCACCGCCTGCCACCTCCTCTGCTGCCACTCCCGCCGCCTCACCATCAAACTCTCCCAAATCGACTACGTCGGGATAACCGTCATGATCGTCACCTCGTTTTTCCCGCCCATTTACTACATCTTCCGGTGCTCGCCAGCTTGGCAGGCGGCGTACCTGACCGGGATATCGATCCTGGGTGCGTGCACGGTCCTCGTGCTGCTGTCCCCGTCGAGGGCCGCGGGGAGGTATCGTCCGCTGCGCGCCGTGTTGTTCCTCGCGATGGGGGGCTTCGGGGTCGTGCCCGCGGCCCACGCGCTCGTGGCAAACTGGGACGACCCACGGCGCGACGTGACGCTCGCGTACGAGTCGGCCATGGCGGTGGCGTACATTGTCGGGGTCGGGTTTTACGTGACGCGGGTCCCGGAGAGATGGGGGCCCGGGAGGTTCGACCTCGTGGGCCAGAGCCATCAGATATTCCACGTTTTTGTGGTGTTGGGGGCGATGGCGCACTATGGGGCCGCGCGGATTTTCTTGGAGTATCGGGGCGTGTGGGTGTGCGGGAGGAAGACGTGAGGTTTATTTATTTATTTATTTTTGTTTTTAATTTTCTTAAATGTATGGATACATTGAGGTTCCATTTAACGAGTTCCCAAGCTGGGATATTTTCTCTCTCTAGAGTGTCGATTTCCCGTTTTGGGATTTTAGGGTTCTTAGTCTCCTCTTTCCATTGCTTCTCTGTTTGATCTTCATTTTCCTCGTCGCCTAAACACCTTGGCCTTTGTTCTATCCTTGTACTCATAGTTGGCTGTTTTTTTTGTGCTTTATCGTGTTTCTTTTACCCCTTTCTTCCGGTTCAGGACCAGAATTAGGGTTTTGTTCTGTGTTATTCGCTCTTCTCTGCCTCTTATTTCATTTTTTTGGGGTGGCTCATCCATCTTTTCTGCTTTTTCCTCAGGTACTGCTTTGGTCTGAGTATCTTTGGGAGGGCAAGGTAAGGGTTTCGGGTTGTTGGTCGACAATCACCGAGCACATGGAAAACGATTTGGCAGACCAGTTGCAAGGCTTTAAGTTGTCCGCTAGGGAGGAAGGGGGAATCTCCATAACTGAGGGAGATATTAGCTCGGGAGTTGAGGAATGTTCCCTAAGTCTCCTTGGCCGCATATATGGGGAAAAGAGGATCAATTTCACTGGGATGAGGAACACACTTCAAACCGTTTGGCAGACTCGCAAGCCATTCAACATACGGTCTCTTGGAAATAACCAATTCCAATTTATTTTCAAAATAGAAGAAGATAAGCAGCATGTTCTCACCGGAAAAACATGGTCTTTTGACGGCCAGTATTTGTTACTTAAGGAATGGAGCCCAACTGCAGAGAATCACAAAGAAGGAGAGGAAAGTATCCAGTTATGGGTTCAAATTTGGGATCTCCCACTCCATTGGGTCTCGGCTGAAATCGGGTTGAAGGTGGGCAAACTCTTCAACAATGTTCTCGATGTAGTGGTTCCAGACATGGGAATTTATGGAGGAAGGCTGGTTAAAATATTGGTGGAATTGAACCTAAAAGATCCCATCCTGCGAGGTACTCATATCAGGCTTGAGGAGGAGTCCAAATGGGTAAATTTTAAATATGAAAATCTCCTAAATTTCTGCTACTATTGTGGAAGGATAGGGCATGCCGACCGAAATTGTTCATTTAAAAAGGAGGACGTTAAAATGAATAGGTTAAACACTGGCCAATATGGTGAATGGTTAAGAGCTCCTGTTTTTGGGTATTTGGGGGGAAAAGGGGATAG